CTTCCTTTATGTTGATTACATTGGAATTCAAAATCGGCAGCGGCAACCAGTAATTTCGGGCACTCTGAAAGCACTTTGTTAGGAAAACCTCGATGACAACCAAACCAGTCTGTCACCACAGTGGCACACAGTAGCATCACCACCAGCTGGACAACTGCGTGCAATAGTTACGAATGAAAGCCGATGATCTGAGTATGTGGAGGTCTACAACTAAACACTGTTGTGACGATTTGTCGGTTTTCGTGGACTTTTACTTAGAGGAATCAATACTAGAAGATATGCGTGTGTCACTGTGGGCAAGACTGGGTATACATTAGTGAGTATATAACAGCTGATGGGCCCCTTCCAGTGGACCTAATCCAGGGAGATGACTGTGGCTGTGGCGTTCACAATGTTCTGCCCGTTCATTGCCGCACCTCTCGTGGAACGTATTCACTATTCTTTTGATTGCGAGAACGTGCTGTCCGAAGAATTTGGTCGACGGACACCGGGCGCTACCGCAAAATATCGCGAACCAGCTATTTGATGCACTTCAGGACTACTTGTTTGATTTTCTCACCAGGCTCTGGCAATGTTTCAAAAACCTCAATGCTCAAACACTGAAGCCTGTGTAACGTCTCCAGTGTACAGCGGTCTATGTTTTAAACTCATATCAAAATGGAAGAAAAAGTAATCATCCTATGTAACCATCAATACATTATTGCGTTACTGTTTGCTAAGCATTCATATTTGACCTGCAAACGTCACAAAACATCTTGAGATCCTAACGCCTTCGTCTATTTTTTCCAGACCAATTGTATCGATCACCCATTAGTGGTTAACAGACGGGAAGAATGCGCACCGGATGCATGAAACCGTCTCGCTTGTTGTTTCACTCTAACGACTGTTTGCTTGTTACATAAGACAACATCTAACCATGCCATCACAGATAAATTCCAGCCGTCACAGTTTCCATCCGCAGTCTTTAACATACGTTTCCGGTTTCTAAACATGCCACGTGTTATTTATTTTAGCCATCAAACAGTGTCAAATATGCGGGCCAATATATGCAGCTGATCGCAAATTAAAAAGTTGCACTTCCTGTAAAATTTTGCTTGCTGAAGAATTCGATTCAACGAGATTCGGTTTGACCAGTGGGGACGTGTGGACATGCATCAAGCGCACAAGTATAGTTGAACTGATGTGTGTCAATCACTTGTAAAATTAAAACAAGAGAAACCTGTATACGACAATAAACAAAACATCCATATTGCTGATCACATTTGCCGCACTTTGATCGAAAAAGGGTCTATGTTCATAGTTCTGTGGTGGCCTCGGTCGTAAACTTTCGGATTTTCTGGGTTAGAAAACTTTAGATTCTTTGCAGGCAGTACGTTTTTCAGAGATAACTTTTGGTTCGTGGCTGAATACACTCCTCAGTGCAGATATCCGTGGTGTCACATTGCTCAAGCATTGCTCCCATTCCAGTGGGAGAAGCATCAGCAATGATGGTCTAATGACCTTTGGTGGAAAATGGTTTCAGAAAAGCTAAAGTTTGAAGACGACCAGACAATGCACTCAACATCTATTCATGGTTGAAGGACCAAGAAAATTGACAGGCAGATGTGAGATTAAACAAGCAACTTGCATGTTTAGCAAAATTAAGGCAAACGAAGACTACTGAAGTGCTCTTAGAAAAAATGCAGTGCTTGTGGATTATGTGGTGATGGCACATTTTCTCAAAAGGAATAGACGGTTTGTATCGGGGTTAAAACCACTCCCATCCACAATTTGGCCAAGACATTTGAGCGGTGGAGCTGCAAAATTGCATTTACACTGTTACAGTTACTCTTTACAAGGCGTAACAAATAGCACGTTTGTATTCAAATTGATTTTTGTGTCCAGCATTTGCATTATTAAAACAAGAGAATAATGAGACTAAAGAGAATAATAATAGTGCCTTAATCAAGTTCTTCACAAAACCGCAGACAGGGACAAAGAAATAAATATAACGCCTTATGCTTCCACCGGGCTGTTTACTGGAGTGTCATTCAATCTCTCGAAAATATTTTGGTGAATATTTCGGGCGAACAAATCATTTGAATGATCATGACCATGTTCGCGAAATTTTTGGAAAATTTTCGCGCGCTTGTTCTCAGCTGGCTGTCTGAATGAGCCTAAAAGTACTAGCAGCAAAGGTTATGTGGCTGTTGCAATACCTTAGGTATACCATTTTCCATTTTATAGACGTTGTCTTTCAAGCTTACACCTGGTCATCCTGCGAACATATTTTCACTCTTTAGTTGGAAAGAAGCACAGTGTGGGAGGTGATGGATATCGTACATTTTGTTTCATTCTCAAACCTGTTATCCTTACGTGTATCCCATAAGCAAGTCGTCAAAACATAAGTGTTCGTCAGGATTTCGACATTCATGATTGACACTTGCCAACTATGGCTCTCATAGTAAAACGGAATCGCTTTGATCAAACCACCGGCATCAGCATACAAACACGGCAAAATGCTTAAACATAAGACTTGGTTAATTTGGTGCGTAAGCTACATTCAGCAACCTGAAATCAATACAAACATTCAAAATCAACGTGGATCCCAAAACAAAATCCTACATCCTCCAACTGCCTTTTGCGTCAAACGATTTGGTTAAAGGCTTAAAGTGGAGCACCTCAACCAAACTCACCCTTGGCTTTGGCAACCGGGAAGCATCACTTGTTATAAACCTTTCCTCACCGGTTTTCCCCATATCTTCTCCCCGCTCGTCGAACGATAGTGTCGCAATCCCATCTTCTAAATCCCTAGCCATTGTTTAATGCCTAAACCACGGCCCAGAAAAATTAACCAAAATTAGCACTCACTAAACTGAAAAGACCTGCTCCATGTTACAGCCTCCAATGTCCGTACTATATGTTAAATTGGGCAACAGGTACCTCTTTCTTTAACCTTGCTTTCCCTGTCTGTTGATGTATACTCTGTTACCGAAACACTCACACAAGACCCTTCTTTGGTGCTGCACCTCAAAACAACTGGGAGGAACTCAGATGTTCCACATTTCACTCTTCGAGTACGCGGTGATCCTGACGCAATAGTTTGTGCTATCTACAGTGTGGGAAGTGCTCTGAGCTCCGAAAGCACCTTCCTCGCATGGATTCCATTAAACAGTCTTCTTTGCGCTGTGCGGTTGACTGACCCAATTAAGATCAATGCAGGTCGATGCAGGTTCCATCAAGATCTGTCGGGACCGTTTCATTCAAAAAGAAAGACAGATACAATAATCCTGGTGCATATTATATGTTTTCAAGTTGGACAACAAAGTTCGGAAGCGGCACAACCTAATGATAGTTTAGCTGGTTTCCATCAAATGGACCACTGGAGTAACCCAGCTGGCTTGAGTGGGAAGTCGAAAACTACCCAACCATCTACAACAAAATTCTGCGTGAGATATCGACCTTCGAGCACGACAAGGTGTCTGGTGTGTAGGGTCTATACCCCACGCTCTTCAAAATCTGTGGCGAGATCCAGGTGAAGAGTCGTATATCTATTCTTATGAATGTCTTGTACAAAAACTGAACACCATCTGAATAAAGCTTCTCAATCTTCACCTTAGTTTCAAAAATGGCGCAAGTCCGGCCAAAACCATTGTGACGTCAGCCCGGTATTTCTCAAATCTCAGGTGCTCTGTGGAGTTGATTATCGGGGTAGACGGATCCATGTGAATCAAACTGAGCTTTGCCTTGGCCGAGGATGAATAGACCATTTTTTTACTTTGAGACATTTTTGAACAATGCCACTCCTTCAAAAGTGTGGTTACCCAAGCGCCGCACTAGTTTACGGCTTAAAAGTTTAAACGGTAATGTATTACAAGTCAGGACATAGGTTCATTACGTGCATTTAAAAGCTGCCTCGCGCAGCTACAGATGAGGTCAGAGAACATTACTAGGCTCAATTTGGCGTCGCCTTCCCGAACTCAGTCGAGGGGCAACGACTGTTTCTCGGAGCATATGACAACTACTTGCAAAAAAAACGTGGACAATTCTGAATGGTCTCACTGAAAGCGAAAGCAAGACTTGTGAGGCCGGAAGGAATGCCAGAAATCAGTGAGAACTAAAACTGATGATACTGATGACACGCAGAGAAAACTTACTAAGCTGTCAAGCATTCTCAACTTTTATATCTGCAAGTGGACGACTGCCTACATCCTGTCATGGTGTACGGATGGCGCAATTGAAATGTTTACTGCAGTTAGTGATGCGCTACGGCTAATATCATAAACTATTAGAACTTATGGTAAAATGTTGTTACAGTGATAGGATGAGCATCAAAAGAAATGCATTTCTACCAAATAGTGATTTCCATGCGAAATTAGTAATTTGAATTAGGTGTGGTGAAGACCTGCCGTTTGACATGAGTTCTTGATGATAAAGTCTGAAAACGTGTTTTGAAGGGAAATCGGTCTGATCGGTGAGACATTTAAGCGAATGTTTGGTTGGTTGTCAAAGGTATGTTGAGTAACAACCACCAATCAATTTGACTCACAAGCTGCTTATGTTTGACTTGGTTGATGTCAACTTGATTTACTTCAAACTTCGCCCAAGTCTGTGCAGAACAAATACCAGCGAGACACTCTAGATCACACTTAAATGTAAATATCCCAAGTATAAGTTGATTTTGGTGATGGTTGTGCAGTTATCAAGAAAGCCTTTTCGGGATTACCTACATTTCAGGTGAGAGTAAAATAGTAGTTTGCGTTGACAGAGGAACATCAGTCTTGTTCCGGTCATGCAAAGAAGCAGATGAAATTTGCCTATGACTAATGCGCCTGTAGAATGAGCACCAGAAAATTTGGAGCGAAGTTTGCTAGACCACAATTCTGAACATTAAGCGCAGATACCTAAGGTAAAAGAACTGAGAGATGGCACTATTTTAGCGCAATTGTCAACGGTTAGCGCAGAAATTGGGTGCACAGAAGGCTTTGAGCCTATTTGGTCAGCAAGACTGTAATTTGCATCGTATAATTTCTACCAGAATGTTATTATTGAAGGTCTAGTTTCAATCTCTACTTACGTTCCCTTGCTCATCATATGACGCTTACTGCGCATCGCATGAATACATCGGCTGTTTTCGATACTTACCATGCTACTTCGTTGATATGTCTAGATTTTCCGTTCAAGAGCAATATTATGCGTGCCCTATCTAAATCACCCGCTATGTGCTGTATTGGTCGTGAATATGAGACAACTGAGGAGAATATCATGTTTCAGTTATAAGACTAACGCCTCAAGTATTGATCCAGATTTGTGAGATTATTTGATCCGATAAAATGATCATATGTTTTGTTATTCTTCTGCTCAAGAAAATGCATTTGCAAAGTACTTTAGGGAATTACCTAGTGAAACCTTATTTATGGATATTTCCTCTCTGTATTCTTGTGTTTACTTTGATAACTGATAACTTGGGCACTCTTTACAAAAACAAATGCCCTGAAAACAATATTTACGTATACTCAAGAACATACATTAAAAATGGAGATGGATGATGAATTAAACTTCTTATGGTTATTATTGCTGAAGCAGAATTATACCTTCGGGCGATCCAAATTAGCACATCTTGACTAACCAGTGTAACTTCGTATACGCACAATTCAACCACATGGCACTGGATTGCTTGTTCCTGCTATTATCAACTGATGACTGCACTGGGGATTGCTCTATGACTGTTTCGGTTTAGTCACTGGAAATTCAGGAGCGGAGGTACTACGGAGATACCAGAAATAATTAAGGGATCTTATTTAAATAAAATCATGATGAAAATATCAGGTTTCAGATTTTTCTCACTTGGGACGATTTCGTTTCAAGTCATTTATGAACTTCCATGATGCACTTTCCAAACTGGAACTAACCACCCAATGAAAACCCACATGTACTGGTTGCATGTGCAACCACCGAAATTTGTTCAATCGTATGAATTCGCCGCAACAGTAATTCATTTTATTATTTTTCCATGCCCTCTGAGAGTATCGGTCGCAAGGCTAGCCTTACAAACATAATTTACAGACAGATTTTTTGAAGTTTTTGTGAATTCAGCCTAACCTTTCGCAAACAAACTTCCCCATTTGCCCAATCAACTAAATCTTTGGGGCTAAATGTTGGCTTGAACATACCTAAATTCAAATGTTACTCTGACTTATGTCGACTACAACGTTTGACCAGTGCACGCCAGCCCAAAAATGGCAAACTACCCCATAATTACTTTATATTCTTTAGGGTAGACCATTATCTCAGAATCTTGTGAAACATCCCTAAAATACTCTCATTATAAAGGACTATGAATACTACCCTACCCTATGAAATTGGCCTCCTTGTGTACATTGCATTCCTTTTTGCAAGGGTATAGGTGCATTCAACATCTTTTTTTACTACTGAGAGCAAAGTGATTTAACGTAATAAGTAGTTCTGACGCGAGCACTCTGGATATAGAATTGCATTCTAGTCCGTACGAGGTTTGGAAACGACGTTTAAATCCATCACTCAAAAACACAAAAATAGCATTTTGAAGTTTCGCAAAAAAATGCCTTCCATTTTACGATGATATCCTTTCAAGATGAGTTTTCCAAACAAATTTGACGCACGGAATGACGTCTCTAAGCCGCCATCACATGGGTCCTGATTTTCCACAATCGAGTGGATTACAGGATGGGCAAGAAAAGTCTCGTAAAAGTTAAAGGATATGACAGTCTCCGAGTCATGCATGTGATCGTGCAGGAATTAACGAGACATGGAGAGAAAATACAAATGAATATGTTGTGCAAAATTAAGGGCGTCAATTTCTAACCTATCTTGCTTAAATTCATTCTAACTGCACTTCTATAGCCACTTTTTCATGCAGGTGTGTGCCATACTGCATTCGAATTTATACAGACGTGCCTACCCTGTTGCGTGGCTACAACATCCCCCTATGGGATCCAAATGCCTCAGGCGGCTGACACGTGCAGCAATTAATAGTAGCCCATAATTTATATGTTTGTAAGTTTATAAGGGTCAAGCCATAGGATGACTTAATTAAAACGAAGCAGGCGGAGAGTGTAAGCTGTTCATAAGCTGTTCACAGCATATCACAAACGATATTTCTCGGACTTTCTCTCATTCTGAGCATTTTAGAAACCACTTTCAGTGAAAGCACCCATGATGTCCACTGATCATATGACCGGCTTACTCAGCGACGCATTATTACTTATGTACACTCAAGCCGTCAGCATACACCCAAGGGTTGGTGCAATAGCCAATTCGGGATAGATATGAATGTATCTCACTTCATTTCACACCTTATTACCCGTCGTACACGTCCTAGTAGATGGATTCACGGAGAGTGAGCAGTGTAATTAGACCACTTCTTATACTCTTGCGATAAAACCACACTTAATTCGGTGCTATCACATTTCGTTTAGCATTGTTTCCGGTTTAAAATTATTGTTTTTTAAAGCGAATTCACAAAAATCCGTAGAAGGTTTAATCGTTTTGAACACATCGACAGTACAGCAGGTTTCAGTGGATTTTCGATTTTGCGAGGGGACTGTGATACTAGTTAAGACGCCTAAAAATTGGAAACCTGCTGCACACCCCCCTCCCCCACTGAAGACATGCCGATGGCGCCTAAGCCGCGATTTACCAAGGCATTCTTGAAATTTCGAAAATTGCTGGCAAGGCTTAGAGTAGTAACCAAATTGATACCCTTCGGCTATTTAGTGATAGTCGAAGGGTAGTGAGAGTATGCGTGATGACTGGTGGCCAGTAAAATCCTATACACGGTCGTTTTTGTCACACTGTTTGGAATGTTTCCATTAGTCATTTGGGTATCGCAGTTTCAGCGATAGTTTCAGCAAAATACTAATTTTATTAACTTAACAAATTTTGGAGTATTTTTGCACGTGTCCACTGCGAACCAGGGGATCCATCGTGCTTAGCATCATACTTCGTCTTCGCCGATAAGTTTATGTGGTTCAACTGGTTCAACATCCTATACATCTGCACCTGCACTTAACATGTTTAGCTTGTAGTTAACTTCTACGAGTCTGTAAAAGAGCAAGTATTTCGGTCTTAAATATACAATAAGAACACCCCAGTGGACTGGCTGAAATTCATCAAGATTTTTCAAATCGAATTGCACAGTATATTAATGTTGTTTTTACACCATTTCCAAATACTGCAGTGGAGTCCATTTACAACAACCAAACGCTTGTGGCGTACTTTAGACGTCATATTGGAGTAACTTCTAGTTAGCAAGAGAAAATGTGCTGTTCTCAAACCTAGTAGCTCATGCATTTACTATGGATAAGTTAAATGCATCACTTATACGAAGTAGAACATTTCACAGCCTGTTGTGTTGCGAGAAACCTGGGTGAAGTTAACGATGACAGAATGTGGCAAACAAAGCGCAGCTTACCCATGAGTCCATTCAAGTAAAACATTTTTATTC